GTGTGAGGGTTAGGATTAGGGTTAGGTTTAGGGTAATGTTGTGAATCGAGTGGCCCATGGTGGTGGTGGGGTTATGGTACTGTATGGGCAGGCGTATGTTATGGGCGATGAACACAGGCCACTCGATTCACAACATTACCCTAACCCTAACCCTAATCCTCACACCAGATACTGACTGGTTTTCGGAGCCCCCCAGACCCCCCCAATAAAGCAAAAATGCACGTTTCAGAGTGGCCTTTTATTGCGGCCAGCCTAAGGCACACCTGTGCAATAATCATGCTGTCTAATCAGCATCTTGATATGCCACACCTGTGAGGTGGGATGGATTATCTCGGCAAAGGAGAAGTGCTCACTATCACAGATTTTTTNGGGGTTATGGTACTGTATGGGCAGGCGTATGTTATGGGCGATGAACACAGGCCACTCGATTCACAACATTACCCTAACCCTAACCCTATTTGAGAGAAATGGTTATTTTGTGTATATAGAAAATGTTCATCTCATGAAAAATGGGAGCAAAAACAAAAGTGTTGCATTTATATTTTTGTTCAGTGTATGTGTGTAACAGCATAAACGGGTAATCATCACTCCCTCTGTGTTTTAATGTGCTAAATGCCTGCCCTGGACTACCTCACAGGGTTGTAAGAAACAGGTCCTGGATGGAATCATCTGTTATTTTAAAGAGCAAGACGTTCACCAGGAAGAGGAGCAGAAACACGGAGAGTGAGTGGCTCATACCCTGCAAGTTGAAATAAGTGCATTTATTCCAAATCATACTGACTTTACTGTGTTTGTTTCTCAGGAGCCTGGATCTAGAGGTCCAGTCTATTCCTCAGGACCAGTTGAGGCATGTGGAGGGCACTGTGATCCTCCACATAGTCTTTGCTATAAGACTCGACCATGAACTCGGGAGAGAATTCCTTAAAAACTTCAAGGTTGTGTGAAACTCATCCGTCTGTTATTTTTCTGTTATTTTTCTAAATTGTTTGCATTTTTAACGTAAAATATGCCATAAATCTTGAATCACAGACCTCTTACGGGGACCTGTGCCCTTTCAGTGTGGCACTGTTGCTCTCAGTGGCTCGCATTCAGCGCTATGAAGAGCAGGTGAGGCATCTATATTATTTTCCTTATACTCATTTGAGTCTTTTTATTTTCCGTTCACTTATTTAAGTCCTTTTTGGGGGATTTTGTTAGGTGTTTGACCTTTTGAAGGGGTCAATCGTCAAGAGTTTCAAGGATGAGCAGCTGCAGCAGGGGTCCAAGTTCCTGCAGGACCTTCTGCCTGGGCCCTGCAGCGTGGATCACATGATCCTGGACACAGTCAAAAACAGGTCAGATGCAAGCGATGTTTTAATGTAACTGTGACCTGGGTTGGCCAAGATGCACATCTCACATTTTTCAGGGACACAGTATTTGTAGTTAATGTTCTTCACATGATTTTCCACCTCTGCAGCGTGTTTGGTTGGGATCATGTGACCCAGGGGCTGGTGCAGCTGGGCTTCTCCCTTATGGATGCATTTGGACCCAAACCTGGACCATTTGGAAAGACCATAGAAGGGGCCTCTACCATAGCCCGGACCCCCACTCAGCAAGCATGTAAGCTAGGAGGACAGGTGCTCCTGCAGGGCTTTAAGGTATTAAAGTTTCTTGACCACAATGTTAATGACTGGTTATTGACTTTATCATTCTATTTTCTCATTGGAGAATGTCTGTTTCTTCTACAACAGATGCACGAGCCTATCAGAGGCGAGATACTGGAGCAGGTCTTGAATCGATTGGTCACAAAGACAGCCTCACCTGTCAATCATTATTTAGGTAATATGACACTTACATATTAGTCCCAGCTTTCAAGTGTACACCAGTGTTTAATCATCCTTGTAACAGACTACATTTTTTATTTTGTGTCTTTTTTTCTCAGACCTGTTCTCTGACATTGTGGTCTCTGCTCCCATGATTCTCCTGGAGTCGTCTTCCAAGGTGACAGAGACATTTGACCATCTGTCATACCTGCCCTTGACCACTGTTCAGGGTTTACTAAAAGCTGTCCAGGTACCTACACACACACACACACACACACACACACACACACACACACACACACACACACACACACACACACACACACACACACACACACACACATTGTAGAGGTATTTGTTGTTTAATCATTCTCTTCTGTTTATTCTCCAGCCTCTGCTCAAAGTCAGTATGTCCTTGAAAGATGCTTTGATTCTAGTTCTCCGTAAGGCCATGTTTTCCAGGTATGTACTGCTTCACTTTGAATCGGATCAGTATTATCCTTATAGTTAAATGAATGATGCTTTGGTAAAGAAATGTGGTACTTTAACAGTAGTTTAGTGAGACGTGTAACACTTGAGGTAAAGCTCATTTCTCACACTATCCTATATGACTCTCCTGTAGCCAGCTGGACGGCAGGAAGTCTGCAGTGACCGGCTTCTTGTTGCTGCTGAAGAACTTCAAAGTGTTGGGCAGCTTGGCCTCGAGCCAGTGTAGCCAGGCGGCGTCCTCGAGCCAGGTACAGACTTCATGTGGTGTTTCTCTACATTGGCTGTAACACTATGTGCACTTTTTAACATCGTAGCTCCTTTAATAACCCTGTGTCTGAACCCCTGAACAGGTCCAAGTGGACGTTCACTCTCGTTACAACTCTGCTGCCAATGAAGCGTTCTGTCTGGAGATCCTCAGCAGCCTGCGGCGCTGCCTCGGTCAGCAGGCTGACGTGCGTCTCATGCTCTATGAGGTTCGAGCTCTCTTTTGGATGCCATGTTTAGTAGTTGTTTTAATGGTCCCCTTTTATGCAAAATCCACTTTTTCATGTGTTTGATACATAAATATGTGTCCCTTCTCCTGATCCATTTTTACAAAAACCTTTTGGCCACTTTGTGATGTCATAATGTTTTTTCGGCTTGTGTAACCATTAGCCAATCACCAACCAAGGTAACCCCCCCCCCCACCTTATCACCTGAATCTTCTCCTAGAGCACCATTTTGTTCTTTTTAACCAAATATCTCTCAGAGGGGCGTGGGGAGGGGCTCCTTATTTTCATCTAAAGTAACAGACCCAGAATCAGCCCTTTGGAAACAGGGCTGAAACAGAAGGGACTATGGGATGCTACAATGCACGATCTGTTTGGTATTTGGAGCCAAACACTTCAGAGACATGTTTTGTATATATCTGAGACCTATAATATATTGATGAAAAAGAGTATAATAGGTGACCTTTAAAATTCGCTACACGGTGCTACAGTTTCTTACCATGATTTGTTAAACCTTTTTACTCCAACTTAAGCATGTTGCACATACATCGCTCAACTTAAGGAACATTCCTAAAAGAAACCCTTCAACATTTTGAGTCTGATTCTCTCTAATCTGTGCGGTGTATTTATATAAGGGTGTAGAAAGACATGTATACTCATTTGTATTCCCCCCCTTTTCCAGGGTTTCTATGATGTACTCCGTCGCAACTCTCAACTTGCCAGCTCCATCATGCAGACCCTCTTCTCGCAGGTACGCTTGTGTGTGTTTAGTGCATACCGGGTTAGGTGTTATTGTGAAGTTATCTACAAGACAGACAGCTGTATCTCATGTCTTTGTTTCCTCAGCTGAAGCGGTACTACGAGCCTGAGCAGGACCTCCTTCCCCCGGTGAAACTGGAACCATGCATCACAGCGCTCGGAGACCAGGTTTTCCTCCAGGAGCCGCTGGTACTTTGTCTGCATTGAAGCATTTTGATGGCTCTGTTCTTTGCTGTGTTAATGTCTCTGATGAATAGTATTTGTTCCCTTTCAGGCCCATCTGTTGAGCTGTACTGTTCACTGCCTGCTCTGGCTGCAGAACATGCGACGATCTGCAAACCCAATTGCAAACGACAGTGATGACGAGGATGAGGAGAAAGAGGAGGAGGGATACCAGTCTGAACTAGAGACCATCCTAGAGAGCATGACGAGACGCATGATCAAGAGTGAACTGGAGGACTTTGAACTGGTATTAATTCAAGATAGAAATACAGTATTTACACTAAACCAAATTGTATGGCTTTCAAAGGTTTGGCTCAACTTTACCATTATGGACGTAGCGTCCCCATGATCGACATCAATTTTTTTTAATTGATTTGTCTTTCAGCGACCTGTACAAGCCTGTACGTTAATACGGTTAATAAAGAAACAACAATATGGGGAAGCTTATTGCATGTACAAGCATAAAGCAAATACAAGATCTCTTCCCAGGATCGTATTGATGAAAAATGTTTTTATTGTATATCTGTTGTATTTGATTGCCTCCCTTCCAGCTTCCAGGCTTTCCCACAATGACGGTGTGTGTGTGTGTGTGTGTGTGTGTGTGTGTGTGTGTGTGTGTGTGTGTGTGTGTGTGTGTGTGTGTGTGTGTGTGTGTGTGTGTGTGTGTGTGTG